CAAGGTGGGGGAGGTTCGAGAATTAGGGATTAAAAACTGGGGGGAAAAGTGAAGCTGGAACGGGACGATAAGGGTGCAAAAGCGTAAGAGGAAGAATAAGAAGACGGGGAGGCTTGAGCAGTAGCATCCAAAACCTTATCCACCCTGCCCGATGCAGCAGATCGGGCACCGTTGATTATCCTCTGCGGTGGCCAGAGCATCAAGCAGTTTGACCACGACGCTAGTCAGACTAACTGACCTATAATTGGCTGACACTCCTGTCGCCATTTTTGAAGATAAGACAGGTGATAGCCTCCTTGCATTCAGAAGGTAATGTACAGCTGTCAAGTGACTTCTGAAACACCATCGCCAGCGGTCCACTTAGTTCTACCGCCAACTCATGCAGAAGCTTCAAGTGAATTGAATCAGGTCCAGCTGCTTTGGAAGAGTTCAGTGCTTGCAGCAATTTAAGGACTTGCCTTTCCACTACAGTAAACTCAGTTAAATAAGAACCCACAAGTACTCCGGGGACAACTTCAACGTTAGTCAACGTGGTCTCACGTATAAAAGCCCCTGCATATTGCTCCCCAAGTACACGAGCCTTATCTGAGTCCGCATACGCAAGAGTTCCATCGGCCCGCATCAAAGTTGGGATTACCGAATTCGAACCAAAGCGTCTCTTAACATAAGCGAAGAACTTCGGATTTTCCGAAGCTCCATCAGTCAATTCCTTTTCGTACATCAGCCGAGCTTTCCTTAGGTGTTGTTTACATCTATTTCCCGCCTCGCGGTATCTAGCATAGGTGCTAGTTGATGGAGCCGCACGGTAGATCCTCCAGCACCTAGAACGCTTCTGGAGCAGATACTTGCCAGTAATAGCTATACACGGCGGTAGCAATCGTGTCTCGTTTCTCCTCGCAAGCAGGATGTAGGAAGTAGACACTTCCGTGAGATAAGATTTAAAGTCCTGGAGAAAGTCCTGGAGAAATTAAAAAATTAAGGACAGACAAATCGCCGGGTTTGGATGGGATCCCTCCCATTTTTCTACGTGAGTGCGCTACGGTACTGGCCGAGCCGCTTGCCTTACTATACAGCCGCTCCTACACCAGTGCCGAATACCCGAATGCTTGGAAACAAGGGGTCATAACGCCGATATACAAGGGTGGTGACAGGACAAACCCCCTTAATTATCGCCCGATAGCACTGCTTCCCACTGCCTCCAAAGTAATGGAGAGTATCATAGACGATTTCTTGCGCTGCCATTTAGAAAGTCTCCTTAATAGCCCCGGAAAAGCACGGGTTCCGCAGGGCTCACTCGTGCATCACGAATCTTCTCGCAGCCCTTGATTCCTGGACTGCAGAGGCAGACAATCATACTCCAACTGACGTGGTTTACGTGGATTTCTCATAAGCATTCGACCGGGTCAATCACGTACTGCTGTTGAGTAAACTGCCGAGTTTGGGGATCGAGCAGCAAACAATCTGCTGGCTAAGTACCTACCTGTCTGGCCGCACCTACCGAGTTCGTGTAAACGGCGCACTCTCCAGCGCTCTGGCTGCAACGACCGGGGTGCCCCAGGGATCCATCCTCGGGCCCCTGCTGTTCAATTTGTTCATCAACGACCTCCCATCCTGTATCAGCAGCCACATACTGCTTTATGCGGACGACGCTAAGATATGGCGACCTATCCGCAGGCCATGTGATCAGGCACTTCTCCAGACAGATATCGATGCTGCTTATTCTAGGGCCTCGAAAAATTCGCTCCCGTTTAACATCGACAAGTGCAAAGTCATGCACATTGGGCAAGGTGTGGCTAATCCGTACAATATCGGCGGTGTGCATCTTAAAGCCACATCCCAGGAACGCGACCTGGGGACCATAGTATCCGCCGACCTGAGCCCGAGCGCCAATGTAGCTACACTGGCGCGAAAGGCTAGCGTTCGCCTGGCCCTCCTTGGACGTGCACTAGGGTCTCCCTAGAGACATTTGTCCGTCTCTATAGCACTTTAGTACGTCCGCTGCTGAAGTACAACATGCTTGTCCAGCCGCCGTACCTGAAGAAGGACGAGGCCATGCTGGAAACTGTACAGCGCAGAGCCACTAAGAGAGTGGACGGAGTATCCCACTTCTCGCATGAGGAGGGTCTGGCGGCCCTTAACATCTTCCCGTTGAAATATCGCAGGCTTCGTGGCGACCTTATCTTAGCTTATTCCGTCCTGACTAATAACAGGCACCCAAACGCAGGATTGCTGGTCCGCGCCCGTACAGATCGTCTTCGAGGGCACTCACTCAAACTGATGACTCGTAGCAGTCGCCTACCGTGCCGAAGAAACAGTTTCAGTGTGCGTATTGCCTTCGCTTGGAACGCCCTCCCTGAAGTTGTTGTCTCAGCGCCCAATATGGAGGCCTTCAAACAGCGCCTAGACGCTTGGCTCTTACCTCGCTGGTTTTCCACGTTGCTAAGATCTGGCCATTTGCCAAGCTAACACGCGGCGCTCCTATCATTTTGCTTCTATCCAACTTTACCGAATTTACCTACACCACTCTCTTGTTCCAGGTATCCACGTTCCCACAGTCAACTCGCTGAATGGCTGGCTCGCCGAACTACCTCCTCTATGTCTAATTACTAGACCGCTGAGACTACATACATACATACAACTCGCTGAATACTTGTGTTGAACACCACTACTGCGTCGAGACCCACAACATCTGGTACCTACCGACGAGATCAGAACCTTGCCGTAAGATCCCGAAGCAGAACCACCGAAAAGCTATGCTTACTCGTTCTGCGCAAACCCGTGAAACTCGTGAAATTTATCCCAGACCGCCTGAACCGTATCAACCACCGAGATTTCGCAACGCAACTCAGAAGCCTTGATACGCACTGCCAGATAGTAAGCCATATGTTTGCAAATGGCTTAGCGATGCTCTGGTGACGCCTGATCAGAGTACACATGAACGATAAACAAGCATGAACACTAGCACCTAAGGGAAAGCTGTAAGTGGTGTCACCTACGAAGTCTAGTGACTTGGCAAACACTATATCCAAAAATAGACGGGTGTTGGGCATCCGTGTACCTAGTGGGGAGGTCCACGAACTGATGCAACGGTACTTGCAGTGTAAACTCAAGTAGATCTGCACCGAAAGTACCGTCCGCCGAATTGCAAGAAAGATCTGCCCAGCAAAATTCTTGTAGATGGAACTCCCCCAGTATCAAACACCTGTTTGCGGACTGGGAGTGAATAAAGTCAAGCACCTCTTTGGATGCACTCCTAGGGCTTCTAAACGCAAGTACAACTGTAAGTTGAGCTGAGGAAGTGTTAATCACTACCGACAGAGCTTCGACAGTTTTATCTGCCGACTGAAACATGTAGGTACGTGAAACGTTGGCCTTGTCGACCAACGAAGCGATCACACCTAAATAGTGCGTAGCCAGACAGATGTACTTCACCGTCCGTGATGTCCCGAGATAGCCACGTTTCAGTGAATGCAAGTATATCGGTGTGAGACCCATCTACAAGCAGACCCATATCGCATAGCTTATTCCTCAGGCTCCACACATTGCTTAGCACTATCTGAAAATACTCGTAATGTCCAGCCTTGGGTCGTGCGCCACCAGTACTGGCATTGGTAGGGCGGAAACAGACCGCCGGCTGACCACCCGAAAACCCACCAACCGGAGACTTTGTTCAACGGCCGCTCGCCTGGTTTTGAGGTGCTTAATGCTCCCCTTTAGCTTCAATCTATCGGCTAATGGGAGGTCTGGCTGAACGCTAACATTAGTACCCTTCAATTTGAAGACAAACCGCAACAGCGCGTTGCATTCCTCCGGGGTGGATAAGACTACACGAAGTAAGCGCGGTTGAGGGTTTGGGGCGCTAACTGGGACGTTACCCAATCTAGTCATTTATCTGACACTAACACCGGGAAACCCAGGCGGGAAAAGTTTCGTTACGCACACCTTAAACCACTGTAGGTCGTCCAATGTACGTTCGGCAGGCAGTGCAGCAGTGGACTCCACTGCGTTGCGGAATATCACGCTGCTATCCATGAAAGAATCACCTCAACGGGGGTATATACCCCACGCGTTTTGGAATTTACATGAACAGCAACCGGCTTAGCCGCAGGCAATGAGACTGGGCGTAAGTTATCAGCTTGTTTGTCCCGTCATTCTTGACGCTTTTCGTACCTGCCTGAAGAGTGCAGGCAGTTCCATTCCGATTTTTCTTTAGTCCTGTAAGCGAAGAAGCCCGTGGCTCAACGTCCATGCCCGCCTCCACGACCTGTACCACCGGAAGAGAGAATGAAATGTTTGGAATAGACACCGCAGCTTGTGTAGCACGCGATGGGGACATCTGGTGAAACTGAGGGAATTTCCCAACGACGTGGTGTTTTCCGCTCAGGCGGTTGCAACTTGAGCGACTTCTCACCTGTCTGTTTGGGTGCGGAGGGTGTGCGCACTTTCCTAGCCCTCTTTCGCCTATTCTTCTGTGGCCCAGGAGCCCGTGACTCGCCCTCCATTTGTGTAGGGTTAAAAATGCCGTCTGAGGCATGTGAGTCAGTTAACTCAATGTGTACTGGAGCGTCCGGTATGATGAACGACGCATCAACGGATAGACCGTCAGCAGGGGAACAGTCCGCTACAGAGTCCTCATTTGCAATACTCAGGTAATTCGTAATCAAATCCACTTTGAAGTTGAGCGAGGTAAGCCCGACTAACGCCTTCTCAACCACTGTGAACCTGGATGCCAGTGCCTTAAATTCAGCACAGATGATAGCCGGGCACTGCTTTCTGAGTGCAGCAATTAGCACATCCAAACAGAAGGTTTTCACTGGATGATAGCATAGTGTACTGATTCGCTCGGAGGCCGGTACAACGTTTGTGATACCAGCGGAAGCAAACATCACACTGCATACCACCGAAAGCAAAGAAATAATCGGCAGAATGCAAGTATAGGAAAATATGACATCGGCAATTAGTAAGGGAAATGTTTAAGTGGTAAAAGATAACAAAACCTACCACTCGCCTCGATTTTCATTGCTTTCACAGAGCCACCATAAGGCCCGCTGACAAACAAGAATGCACCGATAAACGTTTTCTTCCATGTAGCTGACATTTTATCCAGAAAAGACAGTGCGTAAAGGCAACCTAGGCTATGCGCAAGTACAACCACCCTTCGATTTCCAGTATTGACGTACGTCTCTTCAATCAGTGATTTCAACTGTTGAACAAATGTGGGATTCTGGTCTTTAAAATAAGGCTAAATAAAGACGAAACTACTTGGCGCCCTTCGGAAGTCGAAAGGAGTTCCACGGATAGTCCGATTTGGCACATAGTATGGGTCTCTGCGTAAGTACGATATCAAATACCCAAAATAGGTAGTGCCAGCATGTTTTGATGTGTCAAGGTTTTCAATGGACCAAGTATCCCCCCAACCAGGAAAGACAACATCGCAAGCGTCCGAATCACTAATTTCACCAGACGCTGGGTCAAAGTTCAGACTGAGAAGCGTAAAAGTAGACTAGAGATTACCCGAAGTATTCGAATAGGCTCCATGGAGTTAGAAAATAACGCAAATTGACCCATAACAGAAAGTAGTCGGATTTTCCCTTGGGCTTGCAATAACCTTGACTCCCACCGTCACCAGGCACTAGTATGAGTGGGCTCTTTTCAGCAGAGACATAACACTGATGGGAAGTTAAACTCAAGAAGAGAAGCAGCACAGAACACAACTCGCAAACCTAAAAATAAGCAGTATGAAAATGTCGTGAATTACAATAAAGGACGTGGCCGACATTGATCGAATCCCATAAGCTATAAGAACGGAAGCATGCGACGTGGATTAAACCGCTTCAGAGAGTCAGATTCGAGCATGTTGAAAGCCACAAACACGGACAAGGTGAGAGCGTCGGACCAATAGGAAATATCTGATTGCAATTGTGTGGCAGTACTGTAGGCGTCTCTCTACGAACTGGTTGCGCGTAAATAAACGTGTCACTAATTGCACGATAACGATCTAAAATTATGTATGCAATATGAAGTTGGGAAAATTTAAGGCGGAATTAAGGGTTATCAGTTGCAGACGGCTACGCGTTTCTGCGGATGTGACAAGTTTAGTTATTTACGTAAAATTTATTAAGCAAACAGTTGTTCAGTTAATGTGTTCGTAGTGTGTTTGATGGTGTTTATAAATGAAACCCTATTTATAGCATTAAATTTCTTAGAAGTGGGTGTTATTATTTGTTTTCAGGCAAAATCTGTTTGTAGTTGCCTTTCTACTTGATACGTCCGACGGCTATAACAAAATAATTGCAGTAGGTCCTTACTAACCTAAGGTGCTTTACTTAACCCGCTGAGAACCTGCATTTATATACTCATGATATAGGTCTACATGATGTTCCGTGGAACGTCCACAGGATTTTATTTTCGCGGTTCCTACCGCTTCCATGTCCCGGGCCAAATGGAAAAGGGAGAGCGTAGTGCCGCGCATTAACAGAGAGGACAAGCTTCAAGTTCTAGTTCAAGCGGGACTGAAACGACAGGATTATCCCGTGAGTGTTCCTTCTTCAGCTGGTCGTTGAACCAGGAGTTGGCAGAATTTGAAATACTGATGGACCTAAAACAAAGACCATATCACACCCTGTCCAACCAATTAATGTGCACGTACCCTGCCCTAGCAGTCCCTGCTGGGCCGGTTACAGGAAGTAAAAAAGGGAAAAGGGTAAACTCAGAAGGCAATAGAGAAAGTGGAAAGAGCTAAGCAAGTAGCATACCAAGGTATTTGAGTTATTAAAAAGAACTGAAAAGTGAAGGTGCGTCACCTAGGAAAAGGAGAGTGTTGTAGTTGCCACCAAAGAGCATCGAGTTGGCGCGCAAACCCCTTAACCCTAGGTTCCCGAACCACATGAGCTGGAAGCGAATTCCAACCGTCTATAGCTCGACGCCACAGACGAGTTTCCTTCCTAATCCTATCAGACCGTGGATTATGCTGTTTCAGTAAGTGACCTCGGAGGTTAGGTAACGTTGCGAGACTAAATAGCCCTGACACGACCGAGCCGAGCTTATTCGTCAAAATACGATAACTGAGAACCAGGTCCCCTCTTGCCCTTTGGTATTGCATTGAGTACATCCCCAAACTGAGAATGCGTTCAGGATACGTCTGTCCCCGTAAACCCTGCACTAATCGAGTGCCCACACATAACGCCCTCTACAAGTCACTTTTGTCGAGGATAAAAAATGGTGGACAAGCCTGGATACATATTCCATGTGAAGTCAGACGAATGCTGAGAATAGCTTCACAAAGAAATTGGGCGTTAGGATTCCGAGAGTTTCGGATGGATCGAATCAGGGCCGGAAGCTTTAGAGGGGTTAATGTCTTGCAGTAACTCGAAGACCTGAGTCTCCGTTATGTTACACTCAGCTAAGCAAGAATCCTCTGGAACGCTTGTAATCAGTTCAAACTGTGGTAAAGAGATCTCCCGAGCAAAGACCCGAGTATACTTACCACTAAGTATACAACCCACGTCCCAATCTGTCTGTGCACTTGCTCCATCTGGTCGCAATAGTGGTGGTATAGACAGATTTGCCCCTCTGCGTCGTTTAACCTACGCAAAAGTTCTTGGGATTTACTGCGGCCGTTTCCGCCTGAGGGTATGCAATGAATCAAAACTGCGTGTAACTAGTTAAAGTTAGCCGATACAACACGCTGGTCGCTGGTTTGAAGTTTCGCTTGGTCGGTACAAAAGAACCGCTCTAAAACAAGCGGACACCTCGCAAGTTGTTCCCATAAATTTGATGGTACGAAATTTATATCATGGTATGAAAACAAAAGACAAGAAAGAAAAATCTGACGGGTAGTTTTACCTGCAATACCATGGGCGACTAAAAGCATTTGGAGTGTACGCAGGAATATATTGTCATCTACAAGTTAAGCTCATCCTAGCTTTCCAGCTTTGAAAATCTCCGTTCAAGCTAGCCGAAATTTCCTGAAGCATAGATGCAACACAAAATTAAGGGATCCTAACTTAAAATGTGCTACCCAATACAGCCGGCTGCAGTGTCGAAGGAATTACTTTTTCCCTCGAGTTTTTCAATTGTGGAACGCTCTTGCGCCGTTTGTCCTCCAGCGCCCATGCTACCCATTTTTGAAACGACTCGACGATTCTTTATGTCATTTATATCACTTGTCCTGATTTCTGTTCACTGGGTGACGATAAGACGAAAACAAACAGTTTGCTCAATAACCCCACCAAGGCGGTTTATTGGGCTATACCTATGTGTTAACGTGGATAATACTGTTCGTCCACGAATGTATTTTTCACTTTTCTGTTACCCTAATAATAACGTTATTCCCACTGCCCAACATAAGGAACTTGTCGCGCCTTAGCTTATTTATTCGTATAATACCCTTTTCCATTTGCGGTCCATGATCAGATTTCGGTGGGTTGTTTGTTTTCCACGGAGGTTAAATCAGCGTAACTTTGCACAAACGTGGCTTAACGTAAGTACCATAACCAAATCATCAGATCCGACTTTTCATAAGGTTCTGTTAGGAGTGCAAAATCTGTCTAAACAATGCGCAATTGGACGTATTGCGTATGCAAAGGCCAAGAACGATGCAGCACAGCACGCCGTAATAGCAGTTACTAATATTTAAGCTTGCTGCCTGTCTCTTAACTCAAATGTTATAATGGTAAGTCAGAACGTTTCCTTATGGATGTTCACTAGCTGTACAGGGTCAGCAGTATCCCAGTGTCAACGTGTAGTTTAGATTACAACGGTAGATAAAACTTGAGGAAGTGCGCACATCATGCCGACGACAACTAAGGAAAATGCAAACATCAAAAACCAAGTCACCGCTTTAAGCATATTTAATAGAAGTTGCTATTCAGTACCTTACCAACACATATATTTAGCAACCTCTCATTGATTTCCACAAACCGTTTAGAGTCCACAAAATAAGTGTTAGCTTATGCGATACACACTAGAGTTTCGGCAAATATTACCAACAATAATTCCAGTCACAACTACTTACTAATATGTAAAGGGCTGCGAGGATTTCCGTTGCAGGAATCGCCTTACAAAACTAGGCAACATCATTGGTGTGGCTATACAGTCATGATTCACGGAGCCACGCAAAGCACCGCTAGATCCACATGAATATTGCTTGGTAACCGCATAGAATATCTTCCATTGAACGGATTCACGTGCGTCGGCCTAGTAAGCACCTTTTTTCCCTTGTCGATCCAGTACCTAATGCTGGCTTAAGCTGCAAAGCTACGTAGACACCCTTTAGCTCTAGGTGCTTGTTGATTGAGTTCCGGCCAGAACGTCAAGATCCGAGGAACTCACGCGCTCTGCATATTTTGCTCTCCTAAAGAATTTAAACTTTATCAGGTTAAACTGATGGTCATTGGCATCCATAAGTGCTGACATTTAAAGATTAATATGTTAAATCGAATAACTTTCTTATATACTTCGAGCAACCTTTTTGTTCATGGTAATATAGACAATTATTATATTGTTTTTCTTAACTAAGGAGGTCAGCATGTTGCGACATGTTCATCGTAGTCCCTGGTTTATACCACAAGAGCGCACAGCAGTCAACAAAACTAGGCACCGCCAAGGAATATTTACAACTTGGTTTTAATCCCACCCCAAACTGCTGTCGGACGCAACATTTATGAAGGCAAAGTTTCTTATTGAAGCGGAGGTTGCTAACTGCAAATCCCAAAGCCGTGCTTTAAAATAGGTACAGCGATGGTGTTATTTTGTCCTCCATCGCATAGGCATGGTTTGTGTCAACGGACGTGCAGTCAGTAAAACAAATGGACGTTTTGAAGGTTAAAACAACCGTAAAATCCAGTGTTACAAAACACTGAAAGAGCTTGTTTTCCGGTACACTACAAGGGCGTAGAAAGTTGCAGAATGGAAGCCTTCGATGGAGCTGTTAGTGGGGGAAACGGAAGGTGACGGTGGATGCGAATATTTGCAGGGGCTTGAGTAAGAGCTTACAAAGTAGGGTGTGTAGTAGACTTCGCTGGGTCCAGGCTTTTGTTAGTTGTTTATGACGATAGTGTAGACCAGAGTGCATCATCGGTGGGCCGTCGGGGCGGGCTGGACGGACTGCAAAAAAACTGGCTAGTCCAGAAGAAAGGTCGACAGAACCTTCCCTTTGCTGCAGACCCGACGGTGCGCTTGGGAGGCGTCACTCTCCCCACTGCAATTTCAGTTAACGGTTCTCGTCCCACGAAGAAATCCAGGCGTCCTCGTCCCACGGAGAAATCCGTGCGTCCTTGTCCCACGAAGAAATCCGGGCGTCCTCGTCGGCCATGTCTAGGCGACGTTTGGGGACCAATCCGTTTGTGGGTGTCTGCGGTCGAGGGCGATTGTCTGTTCCTTGGGTGAGGAAGGGGCTTTGGGACGACTGACGAGTCACTCCAGGGTTTCGTTGAGCCGGTTGACGAGTCACTCGGGGGTTGTCTGGGCAGTTCCAGCGGTTGAGTTTCTGGAAGGTGGGACTCAGTGGGGGTGGGGAAGGGTCGGGGAAGTGGCTTGACGCCGGAGAAGGAACATGGCATGCATGATAAAAACAAATACGCATTTAAGGTTTTCAAAATATTTTGGTTTTGTTATCTATTTTGCAAAACGTTTGTGGATGAGACGCAGGATAACCACTAAAGACGAAAAAGGCATGTGAATGGAACTAGCAAACGTTTACAAAAACTGAAAAACGGACCGGACGTTTGCCCTGTCTACCGCGTCGGTCGGTTTCCTGGGGTTGCGGCGGGATAGGTTTGGGTCAAGTGGTACAGAGGGTACCGGATTATCTAGTGCTCGGGAAGTCACCACAGGTGCGGGTGCTTGTGCGGGAGCATCAGGATGGGCTGCAAGTGGCTCGTCAAAGAAAGCCACTTTGAGGCGGTCGATGGACACCGTTGTTCGGTGACCATTCTGGTCTAAAGTAACATGTTCCGGAGTCCGTTGCAGAACTCTGAAAGGGCCAG